AAGTCTTGCTTCATGCTTCTGCCAAGCATCGCAAAGCGCTTTGCATTTTTAATTATGCTTCTTCATGCCCCTTTGAAGAGCAGACATGAGAAATAGGAGGATCCCAAATGGAGCCATGGGGAAACTGAGGCACTGGGAGGTGGCAGCCTGCTTGGGATGAGAGAGGCAGGTGCCGTTAGACTTGGAGAAAGGGGAGGTAAGCATCCCAGAAATCTTCTATTGGGGTTCATGTGGGTCTAATGAACTTGTATCTAGTTCTCAACAGTCTGTGTCTTTAACACACTAGAGTCTTGGTTGTCTGTGGGGACAAAACAGTGTTTTTACGTATATATTGGTATATAGTCACTGACAGGGGAAATATATCTTTCTCCTCTGGAAGTTTTAATTTATTTCTGTCTTTCATCATTCTATTTCTCTAATTTCTGAGCAGAATGGCCTGTATATGTGTTTTTTCTCTTCAGAGCACTTTACTCTTAAATAGCCTTAGGTGTTGGCTGTGGCCAAGGCAGAGAACTGGTTTGGCTCCACAGATGACTTCATGCTTTGTCCCTGCAGGGGATGTTAGTGAATTTACTGTGTGGATTCACCTTCAGTGGGTGTGTGCTGAGGTAGCTACACCGGCTTTGAATTTTTATCTGGATGTACAGCTGAAGAACTGGCCTTGCAACATCAAGAAGGAGAAAATATTCTTCTTATTAAGACATGATTTGGTCCAAAGAGGAAACCACAGATGTCCAAAGAACTTGTCATGTATTAACCCATCATTTTGCCTGCATATTGCTAATGCTGTGGCTGCCGAAACAAAGAGAGCAGTAAGGATTAGCTGAGTCTTCACCCTCCTTATCAGGATGCTGGGAATGGAGAATGGGCCTTTCCCAGCTTACTTAGAGCCTAAAACCCAATGGGGAACAGTGTATCACAGGATGGAGAGGGTTTCTTACAGGTAGAATTGTTTTTACTTTTGTGGTGGATGATTTAACCTTTATGATTTTAAATGAACAGCATCCTCTACAGTCTGGTTTTGTGAATGTGAGGTGGATAGTTACTTCTGATGTTCAGTTTTCAGCCAGAAACTTGGTGGCTAGAGAGACACAGCATTTCAGACATACCCTATAACCTCAATTGCTGTAGGGCAGGCTGCCCGGACCACTGTCATGGTAGTAACAGAGATGTCTAGCTGGAGTGTTCTGAAGCTTAGGGCTGAAGCCAAAGCCTTTCTTACAAGGCATTTCAATTTCTAAGATGCATTTCTAAATAAAATATCTGCATCTGAGCCTTAGCCTAGTCTCAAGGCTTAATTGTAAATAAACAATTTCTTAATGACTTTGTGGTTTCCAGCATTTTATTGTTGAATGTCTCTGTGCTGGCATTTGGAGAGCATTCATCATAGTGGAAAATGAATGTCTGTTTGGGCTGCACGTGGTATAATTAAGTATCAGCTGAGCCCGTAGCATAACATGATAATTCTCATTCTGACTGACCAGCTGAAATAACTCACTCTAACAGCTGTGCTCTTCTCACTCTTCTCTTTCAGTTCCCAAGAAGCTTCTGCATGAAACCCAGCCAAGACCAACCAATTACCAAGGATATCAGAAGCCACATTTTCCACTGCAGCCAAGAGTGTTTGATCCCAATGTTATAGGGGACGGCGTGTTCCTTTCTGATGTCTCTCCTTCCAACATAGGGCAAGCTCTGCCAGGTAGCTATGACTATTGCGATGTTGGCCCAAATCTCACTGTCTTGTGGTAACTGTTCCTTTCTATCTCTCCTTATCTGTATTTCTGTATTGTTCTCAAACCCCATCCATGTCACAGTCAGAAAGGAAAGCTTCAAGGCATGACCACCGATGGGCTAAAATGAACTGTGAAACTGTTCAAGAAACACTAGGTTTCTTGAAATAGCAGTCATGGCCATGCATGTCAAAACTCATCACAGAAATACTTTGCAGACCTGTCTAATACAGTGGCAAAGAAAAAAAAACAGGGCAGAGGGAGCGGGGATGGAGAACTTTTCAACTGAGCTTTGAAATATGATGCTATTTTCATAAAATGCAAAGTGAAGAGATATGAATGAAGTCACATCTTAGCCATCTATAGGGGTAGGTAAGTAGGAGGAAGGGTTGGTGTATGAATAAGGGAAAAGCACAGGTGAGCATGTATTGGGTTACTCTGTGGTTTTGCATTGTGTTTCCCAACATGCAGGAGATGGCATAAGACACCTACTGAAATTCCCAGCCTGTGCTCCCAGAGATTCAGCTCTAGGGTGGGCATGGACAGAGCTGCCTTGTCTCTGTCTACACTCCTGGCAAAGTTAATCCACGGCTTGGATAGTCAATCCACAAATAATTAAGAGCTGACAATAACAGATTTGTCAGTTTGGAGGCCTTACTGAAAATTTGTCAGTGAAAAGAATTTTGAGTTAGCCCCAAGTAAATGTTGTGATCCTGCGGATCCTTTTAAGCAAGAAAAAAAAGTATCCTGAACTCATATTCATTCATCTAAACATTTCACTTCTACAAATGACACCTTTTGTTTAGTTTTCAAATTGTTTATTCATTCATTTTCAAAATATGCACCACTTTTCAAACAAAGATGTCATTTTGAAGTCAAAAGCTGAAAGCATGTTTCAAAAATAGCAAAAGAAAATACTTGGATGTTTCTGCAATATCCTTTCTCGTTTTATTTCTTTCATTAAAACTGTTTGGTAAAGGCAACCTGGTATCATGAATAACATCTCCTATGCTTATACTGTGGTGTTGGGCAAATTTACTGTTGGCTGAAATAATTTTGCTCAGCTTTGGTGTAAGTTCACAGAGAAACCATTTAGGTGACTGGGAACAGCTAAGAAAGGGTGGTGAGGGGAAATAGACATGTCTTCAAAGCTAGCAAGGATGATCCTAGAATGAATGGCAGATCAGGGAATCACACTGTTTAGCAACACATGAACCTTGTGAGATTGTGTGCTTGTTTTTTCCCTCCTGCATAAGTCCAGTAATTTTCTGTCTTCCCTGTCTGTACTTGTATAATCCTGTCAATGACAAAACCAGTTCTGTGGTTTTTGTGGTGCTCTTTGCTGGAGCTTAGTGTGTGCAGACGAGTATTCATTTAAAAACTTTTGAAACTGTTTGATTGCATCTGTGCTTTGGACAAGTTACAAGTAAAAAACCCCAAACAATTCTTCTTATGTCTCACACGAGAGGAGTTATCCTTTACTCTGTCTCCTAAATACAGCAGTACTGCACAGCGTGGTTTACAAGGAATGCTTCATACCCCATAGAGGTGGTGTTCATCTGACATATGGTTATGGAATATATATGAGATTATATCCTAGTGGTGCCCTTCATTTTCATTGATTGTGGAAGAATTTTAGATTATGAAGTTCAGAGCCAACTCTCAGTAAGGGGATATCTTGGGCAGGATTTAGTTACCCCCAGATAAATGTGTCATTTGTGATGACCTGAGGTGTTCACCTGGCATCTAGAAGGGGAGAGTTTCCTCTACATCCCTTGTCATGCCTACCATCTCTGCATGGATGTTCTCCTGACCTTGGGGTGTATTAGATGTCTGTGTTATGAGCAAATACATCAAGCTTTAAGTGTCTGCTATGGGGAGTGCTGAATGACTCTCTGCTATCCATTAACTAAAGCAGGATACTTGAGATGCTCTGAAGTATCCAGGGCTTAGGTTCAGTTTTTAGAAATGAAAAATTTACCCTGCTTCCATGGATTTCTTTGGAACAGTGATAGAGAAAAATTCAACCACTTGTACAGATGAATTTGCCAGACAGGGAGTATAAAGGAAAGATTAGAGGGCACATTAATGCCTAGACCTGAATTAAAAGATTTT